CCTCCGGCCTGCACCACGGCAGCAGAAACGCGGTATTTTATTCCTAATGCACCTCTGCAAAGAAGGTTGCACAGGGGCTGGGAGGCGAGGGTGAGATGCACAGATTGGGTTTAGATCATTTTGCAGGGAAAAAAAGCAGCAACTCAACAATCTCTTGAGCTACAGTGCCTACATGCCCTAACGTACACCGCTGTTCCTGGGTCCTTCCCATTTTCCATGAGGTAAAAGAAAATGGCACTTTTTTTGTGAGTTTTTTTTCCTAAAACAGCTCAACACGCTTTTTAGGGTTAAGTTTGTTGAAAATAGCTGGGAGGGAGCAATCCCAGAAAGCTTGGCAGGCTCACTGCGTTTCGGAGCGCTGCTAGATTCTGATTTCATGCAGCAAAAGGAAAGGGAACTCCCTCAAGAAAATTGGACTGCATATTTAAAAAAAATAAATAATCCTGCAACCTTTTGCCTCAGCTAACATTGTTCTGACACTGAAGTGTCTACCTAGGGACAGCTGTTTCCTCTTCATGACTAAATACATGAATAAATCTATTCCATAGAACAAAATATAGGATTATTTCATTTGCCTTGCCTGATGTCTGTTTCTTCTTTTCTTTTCCCCTTTTTTTGAATTTATTTGATTAGCTGAAGGTCACGGCGGTGCCTTTCCTAGCACTATTTACATCTCTGAGCGTCTTTTCCCACTAAGAAATAGCAAAAGCTCCCAGGAGTGCTTTCTTCGTGGAAGAAGTGGCAGAAATGCTTACAGCTGTCAGAAGCTTACCTTGAGCTCTTTTCTTTAAAAAAATTCATAAATACAGCAAAAAAATGGAATCAAATAATTGGCCAGCTCAGCTGCTACACGTTTGCTGTGCCACAAAACATTCTGGTTTTCCTCTGGTGAAGCAGGTTTGGTCGGGAGGTTGCGTTGCAGCTGATTAATGCAGCACTTGTGTGGAACATAGAATCCAGCCTCCTGTGTGGACCTTTGGTGGGCCCACTGCTCAGCGGGTGGGGGACCTGGTGACAAAGGACCCCAAGAAGGCCAAGGTACTCGATGCCACCGTCTTCCTGGTCTGCGTGGTAGGACCAGCCTTGGGGAACCACAGTCCCCTGAGACTAGCGGCACGTCTGGAGCAAGGAGGCCTGCCTTGGTGGAGGAGGAATGAAAGTTCTGCCTTCAATACAATGACAGCAAAACACTTTACCTGGGACTGCAGAATTCAGGTGGGTTTGTTTTCTGACGTGTTAACCAAAAGATAGGAGTTAAGAAATAGTTTCTATTAAACTTCCTAGAACAAGTTCCCTTCTAAGAATGGGGCTTCCTTTTTTTACAGAACATTGAAATATTTTCTGCATTATTACATGGTGAATCTGTAGGCTGCTCAAAGGGTCCCTCAATCTTTCAAAACACCCGGTACAAAAAAGAAGTTAAAAATATTACACTGCTTTTAAGTTCTTTAAGGCTTGAAATGTGATATTGCTCAAGATGTGAACTACACACGGATTCAATTTCACAATGAAGTCCTAGTAAAAACTCTCCTTGGGACTCACCTTTAAATACAATTAGGTGTGAAATTTTCCTTATCCAGCCCAGAGCCAAAATTGCCAACAGTACAACCTCCAAACTGACTGTGCATACCTGCGTGTGCGTGCAGCGCGCACACTGGACACCAACACGCTGACAGGGCTGTTCCCGCCAGCGCTGGTTTATACCCAGAAGCATGATAATTCTTACTTCTAGCTGTGATCATGACATTAATGCCATCTACAGTAACTGAAACGTTATCTTATTGTCCCAATAAATACCTTTCTGGATCCTCCTAATCTTTTAATGCCAGCTGCGCCTGCTGCAGATGGCTTGCCCATTATTTAATGATACAGACTTTTTCCAAAGCCTTTCAGATGTAAATGACTGCTCTCTCAAGACCAATGAATGCAAAAAAAAAAAACCCCAATTCTTTTAAAATATTCTTTTTTTTAAAAAAAGAAACATAACCAGCGTACTCTCTTTATTGCCATGGTCTGCTACTTGTATATTACTTTTTCATGCACTGTTTGTACCCACTAAGGTTCCACCAGTCTTTTTTCATTTTCATATGGAGATTTTACCCGCATCTACAATTCTGTCAGCTGTTCAGCCTCCTTTTCCTGCTTTATGTTTTCATTACGTTGCCTGTCTTCATGGGTGCTTTTCCAGAGCCTTATCAGACTCAGTGGCTCATCTTTCATCTTGGCTCATTTGCTGGTCTCTGCTCTGAGGAGAGACGGCTGGCCCCTCTCTGACCCGGCTGCGATTTCTGGACCTCGCGAGCCTGCGCATTGTTCCAGGACTTCACTGTTCTGTCCCGATCCCAGGCCAGTGACCTGGCACAACCTGTAACTGCCTCCATCAGAGGCCAATGCGCCCTTGATCGTAGGCGTGAGTTTGTGCAGAAAGTAATCAGTGAAAAATCTCACTTGGAAGTCCCCATCTGAATGGAAAGTATAATTCTGAATTCATTTAATAGACTTATTAAAAGAACATAGAAGTTGATAGCTTCTTTAGAAACCTGCTCATTACTGAGACAAGGTGTCTCCTTCTCCATCAGCTTTTTGCAGACATTCCTCTGCTTATTCAGTAAGTGAAAAAGAAAAACCCTTATCCTCAGGTAGTTGAGTGTCCTACACCCAGCTCTCACCAGGCTGAGAAACAAGTCTCGTCTCTTCTGTCCTCCAGGTCACAACACACCTCAGCAGATAATATTAATGACCTTTCCAAAGCTTTTAAGGCAAGTGTTCACAAACGTATAACTGACATTTGCTTTGACTCTTTAACAGTTTATGAAAATGCTGTGGTTGAACACATCTCCTGCAGTTTCCTTTGCATTTCGCTGTGGGCCATTTTCTGTCCCACAGACAGCCGTAGCATGCTAACGGTGGCCGGGATGGCCTCAGGTGGCCACCTCACTGCAAACACCAGCGCTCCGGGGATGGCCAAACACCCCTCCCGTAAAGCCTTTCTCCCGGCCTGGCCCCAGATTTTCTCTCACAGAGGCACTGCCAGGCGGTGCTCAGCCTCCTGAGCACTGCAGTAGCCAGGGCACGACAGTGGCCAGCACAAGATCCTTTGGAAGACGCTCGAGCAAGCTCAGCCCGCGCAGTTGTGGTGGTGGCCTTGTACGAAATGCCCCACCTTTGCGTCTTGCTGAGTTCCTGATGGCAGGAATGAATCGCCGCAAGGAGTCCGGAGGAGAACTGCGTCTCGGTTGGAAGAGTCCCGGCAGGAGTACGTCCTTCCAGAGCGGCATCGTTTTACGCGCAGAGAACTCCGCAGCAGCGCTGTCATGCAGAAACGGGACGTAAATGCTGCAGAGTTTGTATTAATTACTCAGCAGCTTCCGTGCAGCGGAAGACAAAGGCAAAACTGGCACAGAAGTAAAGAAGATGTTGGGTGCATTCCCTGCACGGCCCAGGAAGGGCGAAGGCCGCGGTCCTCCAGCATCAGTAGCCTGTGCATCAAGTCCGGGAGATCCAGCCAGCGCTCTTCGGCGCTTTGCAGGTGTGAATATCTACCACTTCTAGGCAGTCCTGGCAGCGCACAGCACAACACCAGTGGAATTTGCACTCGCATTTTGTCATTCTGCTGACGCGGGAGGTGTCGTAGCCTCTCCCGCAGCACATCACTTCGCAGCTGTCCATGCCGCGGGAGGTTTGGTTACAAACCCGACCGGCTGTCCCGAGGGACCCTGCAAAGGAGAAACGCAGGAGAGGTCAGGAGGTGGACTTTAAGGAAGGACAGGAAGCATATGAAAATAGGTATAGGAGCCATAATTTGCAATGCATTTGATCCTTCAATGTCACGTCAGCTGGGATGCAATATATCGAGCCCGCTGCTCGGAGCTCTGCAGGGGAAAGGGCTGGGAAAGAGGAGACCACTGAATTCGGCGGCTGTGAGGGGCGCACCGGGCATAGCAGCCGTGCTGCCAGTGGCTCCAGTCTCTGCAGATGCAGGGGCAGAAGCAACCCAAAAACGCCAGCCGGCGCCGCCCCCCGCGGCCCCCTGCGTCCACCCTCGGCCCCCACGTTCACCAGTTCGGGTGGCAGGTGAGGTGCGGCTGCTCTGTGCCATCTCTCATCTCCACAGGGTAAGTACTGAGGGTTCTTCTCTTTCGATAGAGATTAGAAGAAACTAATTTGCAGCCTGCTGTGGACAAAAGGAGGGGGTAGGGGAACATACCCCACATCTTCACGTTCTCAAAATCTCTCTGGAGCGGCTGAAATGCCGAAATGCCCATCTCCACATGGCACAAAATGGCTGTTTGAAGGGATCTCTAAGCCCTGACAGTTACTGTACCACATGGGAGCTGCTGCTTGTCTCATACAAACTTGTCGTAAGGTACACGTTGGGATCTACACGACAGCTGTTGACAGATTATCATTATCCATCTGAAAACTTCATGGATACTCATCTATTCACCTAATTTCTTAAGTATTGCTATCATAAATCAAGTGCAGGTATAGCCGTGAGACGAACATTGTTCTGGCATTTTCCCTAGACCCAGTTATAGCTCTGGTCTGTTCTTGGCCAAAGTGAGATTCCCTAAATACTGACTGTGGTCATTAAATCAAATGTTATGGAAACATTTTATGAAGTGTGTACATCAAACATGGACGGTTTACCTTCTTAAAGAAAAAATACATGCAGACATTAATTCAAATTAGCAAACCAATCTTAATTAATAAAAATTAAACTGTATTAGACACTAATTATGAAAAATCTAAGCTGCATAAATTCTAATTTTCTCCCCCACCCTGTGGTGTACCGTAAGGTTGTACATACCACGCCGCTCTACTGAGCACTTCACCATGACGTGCAAGTGTTTGTTGTTCCTCCGTCCCCCACTGTCCCCAGCACCAGGGAGACTTCGTGTCTTCTCGGGCCTGGGCCCAGACACCGTGGCAGCGAGCGGTCTCAGGCACCTGAGCAAAGCCACCTTCTCAGACTGCGGTTTTTCACGTGCCCAACACACGATTTAAGCCCCTTCGCCGCAGTGCAGGGAAATTTTGCTCTTCTTGCACCTAAGGCAGGACCAGCTTCAACTGCCGCCCTGGAGGAGCGTTTCAGCCCCGAGAAGGCATCTCAGCCTTCTCTCCCGTGGCCTATATTCCTGTATTTATTTAAACATCGAAATACTCCTTGGGTCAGGGGTAGATATGTACACCTGGGAAGCTTCAGTATCAAACGGCTGGTCCACTGGGCGCAGAGCAGAAGAAGGGTGTTGCATGGCCACCTACGCCCCAGACGCACTGGGTGGCCCCGGCTGCCTGCCCCGGGAGCTGCTCGCTGGCTGCTGCTGATGGTAGAGATGCTGGCCCCGGCTCGGGTGTGCTGAGCTACAGAGGTGCTGCGGCACCGACCCAGCAGAGCCAGGCAGGGAGAATCGGAGAATCACAGAATCACAGAATGGTAGGGGTTGGAAGGGACCTCTGTGGGTCATCTAGTCCAACCCTCCTGCTG